GTCGCCCTGTATTTCCTGGTTCTCAAAGGTATTAATTGGCTTTTGTTGTTCATAAGGCACGTAGGTACCGCTCGTGCTAACTAGCTGTGTGTACCTGGGTATTTATCAATATTTTTCGTTATCATCTGTGGATGTTTTGTTTCTGTTTATATTGCTTGTATTGCAGTTGATAATGATGGTTGTGTTAAAAGTAATGACAATGATAAGAAAAAGATAGTAGTTATAAGCATCAAATTTAACTGGAATAATGATAATGTTAATAGTTGTCATGATAGTGATAAGAAAGTGATAATGAAGATGATGAACCATTACATATATTTCTTTGTGTTTATCCCAAATATGCAAAGCAGATTTTCAAACTTCTCCTAATTAGTATAATAATATATGATAGAATAATAATAACTTATAATAAATGAGCAGACTTCTACGATCTTGGAAACTTTATCATTCAAGAATTCTAAATATCAATGTTGTCATCTCCAGTTCGCATTACAGGAAAGTTTTGTGTTCATAGAGAGCCAGTGATTTTTTTTTTTTTTTTTTTTTTTTTTGATAGATACACAATAATTTTTTTTCTGCGTTATTGTCTTGCTTTCCAATTCTTTTAATTTTCGAAATGCCAATATCATTTCAAATATCGTAAATGGTCATTAACAAGAATTATTCTACGAAGGTTTGTGAGATTATTACAAGAATCGCATTCCTACACAAAATCAATAAATATTTTTTTTTCTGTGAAATTACGTAAAAAAAAAACGCATTTTCGTGAACCCAACGAAAATTATGATCCAAGCCATAATACGATCATTATTTTCATTAATTTCCGCCATGAACAAAGGCAAGTTCATGACTGTTCATATGCTTTGCTGGAACACTGATGAACAGTTGGTCTCGTTTTCGCACGTTGCTAGTTCTTATGTTTAATCCCTCTTCCTCTTTCTTTTCTTTTATTTCATTTCTTCTCTTTCTCTTTTTTTTCTTTTTTTTCCTCCTTCTCCCTCTCCTTTTTTACTTATTCGTTTTATCTGCCTTCTGCTCTATCTTCTTTTTCTTTTTTCTTATTCTCTTTCGCTTCCTTCCTCTTCTCTATCTCCTCCTCTTCCTTCTTTTTTTCTTGTTCTCTTTCTCTTCCTTCTTCTTATCTATCTCTTCCTCCTTCTTATTTTTTTCTTATTCTTTTTCTCTTCCTTCTTCTCTATCTCCTCCTCCTTCTTCTTTTCTTATTCTCTCTCTTTTCCTTCTTCTATTTCTCTTCCACTTCCTTCTCCTTTTTTGTCCTTTTTCTTCTTCTTCCTTTTCCTTTTCGCCTTTCTCCTTTTTCTTTCGTTTTCTTATTTTTCTTCTTCTTTCTCTTCCTATTATTCAATATCACTATAATTTCATTCATTTTTTTATTTGCTTTCCTTTTTCTCCCCCTCCTCCTCCTTCTCTTTCTTCTTTATTCCTCTTTTTTTCTTTTTCTCTTCTCATGTTCTTTACCTTCATCATCTTTATTCCTTTTTTTCTTATTCTTTCTTATTTTTTCATTCAACCCATTTTCTTTTTTTTCCTTTTTTCTTTTGTTATCTTCATGTTTTTCTCCTCTTCCTCTTAAACATTCTCCTTTTCTTCTTTTTCTTCTTTGACGTCTTCTTTCTCTTCAACTTCATTCTTCTATCTTCCTAAATTTCTTTTTCATCCTCCTATTCTTCTTTATCATTTACCTATTCTTCTTTATCAGTTACCTCTTCTTCTTTACTTCTTGTCGTCTTTTTCTTCTTCTTCTTCCTCACTTTCACCTTTTATTCTTTTCTTCTTCACCTTTCATCTTCGTCTTCTTTTTCTTCTTCTTCTTCGTCTTCGTCCTCATCATCTTCATCTTCTTCTTTTTCTTCTTCTTCGTCCTCTTCTTTGTCTTCTTCTTCTTCTTCTTCTTTTTCTTCTTCTTCATTGTCTTCTTCTTCTTCTTCTTCGTCTTCTTCTTCGTCTTCTTCTTCTTCTTCTTCTTCTTCGTCTTCTTCTTCGTCTTCTTCTTCTTCTTCTTCTTCTTCGTCTTCTTCTTCTTCTTCTTCTTCTTCACCTTTCATCTTCTTCATTTCTCATGTTCTTTTCCTCTTCACATTTCCTCTTCTCTTACTTCTTCATCATCATATTCCAAGGCATATTTCCTCCCAAACATAACATGGCGTTGTTTTAATCCAATAGAAATTTCTGTTACATTTGTAATACCAGTCAGCTTTCCTTTGTGTGTGTCTGTGTACATGTCTGTTTTTGTGGTGTGTATGTGTATGTGTGTATGTATGTTTGGTGGGTTTCTTTTTGGGTGTGTCTATGTTTTATGTTATACTATCTGTACGTACATGCACAGTATGCAATTCGAGACACTGCAAAGTTTCAAATACAAAAGGAGTAGGTAATTCAGTTGAATCAACTTTATCAAACGCTGGAAAATTTCGCTGTCACCAATCCCCTTTACGAATTAAAATTTTTGCTTTCAAAAAATACTTCCATGGAAAACTGG